ATACGATTCTGAATATAACAAGCATTGTTAACAACTCCTGCCCATAAGTACTTAGGGAGTTTATTTTCATGAATCATTGTCCTTGCCATTTCTTGCATTGATCTATTCTCTCTCAACAACTCCATTTTGTTGTGGGGTTCTGTGAGAAGAGAACTCATGGATAATTCCATATTTTTCACAAAAGGATTCAAATGATTCATTTTCAAACTCACCCTCATGGTCACTTCTGACCTTTAGAATTTTCAATTCTTCCTCAGATTGTACTTGATTGCAGAAGATGTTAAACACTTCATATGTTTCGTCTTTGGATTTGAGAAACTTCACCCAAGTCCATCTGCTAAAATCATCAACTATGACCAAACCATATTTCTTTCCATTTATTGAAATTGTTCCAATGGGACCAAATAAATCAATGTGAAGCAATTTCAAGGGTCTATAAGAAGAGACAATGTTTTTGTTTTTAAATGAAGTTTTTACAATTTTCCTATCTTGACATGCTCCACAAAGAGTGTCTGAGTGATGATCAATATCGGGCAGCCCTTTCACAGGTTTTATCTTGGAAAGTGTAGAGATTAATCTCCAGTTAGTATTACCTAACCTTTTGTGCTAGACCCATTTTCATCACTCATTATCATTAGGCAAACGACCCTTTGAATAACCAATTTAGAAAGATTAACTTTATAAACATTCCTTTTTTTTCCCTTTGAATACTATAGTTTTGTCAGAATTGACATTAGAATAGAAGTCCTTATCAAACAATACTTTGCAACCATCATCACACAACTGGCTTATACTTAAGTAGATTATGTATTAGGCCATCTACAAGCCATACCTTATTAATGATAGTTTGAGAGTCACCTATGGTATCTGTTCCGATGATCCTTCCCTTCTGGCCACCTCCAAAACCCACATTTTATTCCTCTTTCAGATTCAGGATTTGGAACATACACCTTTCTCCTGTCATATGTCATGAGCAGCCATTCTCTAGGTACCAGGGTTAGCATTCCATCTATTCCTTTGGGCATATCTGCAGCAAAGATTATTTGGGATTTAGGTACCCATACATGTATTGGTCCTTTCGGGTTAGTTTCAACAAATTTTCTCCTATTTTGTCCCTTTACCTTGTGAGAAGGTTTAGTTTTACTCCTATCATTTTTATTAAAAGAGTTTTGACACGAGTTTTCTTAACCTTATCAGCAGATTTAAACTTATCTGGTGATTTAGAATATTTGAACATTGATGTCATTAGATTATCTGATTTATCAGATTCTGTGATAACAATGCCTTTAAACTTCGGATCAATAGGTTCAGTTGAATTTGTTGCTTTTATAGCAGGAACAAAATGTTTACTTAACACAGTTTGAGCAATACTAGACGAGCATAAGTTTTGAAGTACTTTTGAAGAGTTATTAGCGCTAGAGCAACCTTCATCATTATCCTAGTCCTTCCTTATTATATTTCCCAACTCCATAAATCATAGATGTAAGTTTGGTACAATCAATTCCAGATGTAATGAATTTATGAAAGGCATGGTCATGTTTACCTAGGGATGAACATTCATTTTGAGATATATTAACCTCTTTTAATTCTTCTTTTAAAATGAAGTTATCTCTTCTAAAGATATTAATCTGACTAGTTTGATTTTTGCAATGATCTAGAAGATTGTTAGCACAAGAAGTAAAGTTAGAATAAGAGAATACCTCATCTTCATTTTCATATTCATATAGACGTTCTTCTTCAGATGAGTGATCCATCAGTGCTAAATTAGCATTATCTTCATTTTCTGACTCTTCTTCATCTAGTTCTTACCATGTTACCATGAAATTCTTTTTGAACCTGTTTATGAAATTATCCTTTTGATAACTTCCTTTTCTCTCACTGTCCTTCAGAGGTTCAAGACAATCACTTCTGAAATGTCCAGGTTTGTTGCAATTGTAGAAGATTTTGTCTTCATCTTTGAGGTTGATCCTCCTATTGTTTTTAAAGAATCTTCTGCTTATTTTGGCTATTTGTTGTATTCCTCTGATGAAGTATGCCATATCTTCGTCGTTAGATCTTTCATCAGATTCTTCTTCATACGATTCATCAGGTTTGCCATTTTTTGAAATCTCATGGACCTGTCATCAGATTTTTCAGAGGCAGATCTCAATGCGAGAGATTTAAACTTTTTAAAAGTATCATCTCCATTGATTTTCATCTCGTGACTTTGAAGATTGCTGATTAGACTTTCAAGAGACAGCATATTCAGATCTTTAGCTTTCTGAATAGATTTTACTTTAGGTCTAAATTTATGAGGGAGACTTATTAGAATTTTCTTCACATGATCAGCTGTTGAGTAGCTTTTGTTCAGCACTTGAAGGCCTGAGACAAGAACCTGAAACCTGGAGAACATGGTTTCAATATCCTCGTCGTCCTTCATTTTAAATAACTCATACTTTTGTATCAACAAGCCAGCTATGGCTTTTTTGACTTATTGATTTCCTTGATAAGTAGAACACAACGAATCAAAGATAGTCTTAGCAGAAGACTTGTCAATGATCTTCAAATACTCAGCATGTGGAAGTGCATCAACTAGAATACTTCTGACTCTGTGATGTTTTCTGTACATTTTCTTTTGAGCTGGAGTCAGAGCTTTTCTGTCAGCAACCATACCAACATTGTCTACAGGAATGTCAATGTCATCCTCAAGAATATCCCATAGCTCATCATCGAATCCAATGATATATGTGTACATCTTGCTTTTCCACTATTCAAATTCAGTAGAGTCACCACTGAATATAGAAGGTTTAGCAGTATAATGATTTCTCTCAGAGCTATTGTAATCATAGGGAATCCCCCTCGAGGTACTAGAATTACTAACCTCAAGATCCATATTTTTCTCGTTAGATATTTGACTATTCCACTGTTAAGTACAGACATTACTCTCATGCTAACTGAAGGTGAGAAAAACACACAAGAAGGAGGGGTTAAATTATGTTTTGCAAATGTTAGATTTACTTCTGAACCATAGTTCGGATTCTAAAACTGAGTTCAAAATTCGATAAGGTGCAGTAGAAATAAAGACAAAAGTAAAGTAAAATAGCAAAGAATACACAATAGTTATCCCGGTCCCTCTTCCAACTGAGAGTACTCTAGTATCCTTGCCAAGCAATATATTTTCCACTATAATCAACCATATTACACTTGCCTATACACACTTGTATAAGACTTTTCTTTTTGCTCAAACCTCTTGTCCAAAAATTCCCTTGCTTAGAGCTCGTGTCTAAGACTTAACTTTGCTTAATCAGCTCCTGACCGAGGCTTCTCTTGCTTATACCACCTACCTAAGACTTCACCTTACTTAGAACTCGTGTCTAAGACTTTAACCTTGCTTAGAGCTCGTGTCTAAGACTTTAACCTTGCTCAGAGCTTGTGTCTAAGATTTTACCCTTACTTAGAGCTTGTGTCTAAGACTTTAATCTAAACAGCTAGTTTAAAGAAGGAATAACTTACAAAAGAAAAATAATTGATAAAATATCAAAGGTGTTCAAATAATACAACACACTATTACAAAAACTCTTAAAAGACTCTGCTTTTTCTGAAGGTAGTGTGTGTATATCTTTAGTTGTATTTGCAGCGTTATTTCTTGAGAGATCTTCAAATCTTCAGCTCCTTTTTATAGCCAAGGAAAATAAAGACGTTGGAGATCTTCAATGGCTACAAACAAAACCAAATCTTCTAGTACATCTTCTTTTCAAATGAAGAAAGTGTTGGGATTTTCAGTCTCAAGAGTATCCTTAAAACAAGGTCTTTGTCTAGAGGATACAACTCTGATTCAAGTACAACACAACCTGTAGAAGATAATGTCAATAAATCTTGAGTCTCGTGTTAGCAAACTGATATGACATTACTCAGCATCAGAAGCAGCATAGCACGCTTCTGAGCTGAAGTGCACTAGCAACAACTTTTCTGATCAGACGTCCTTGACAGAGTGTGACCAGAACTGAACCAAAGTCATTTTAGTGTTAGAACAAATCCATCAAGTAAATATAATCATGTACACATAATTTGGCTAGTTAGAGATCCTAATTGTTTTTTCAAATACTTTGTTATCATAAAAAACTTGGAGGATTCATGACATGAACCCAACTTGTTTCAACAACCATCGTACATCCTCTAATTTCCACTTTTCATTGTAGTTATTTTGAATTATGAACTGAAATGTTAACCTTACATGTCCACCCCTACATCGCCGTATCAGATATCAGCACCACCGATTCAAAATTTCTCATCATCAACATACACCTAATTCTAATTTAATAATAATAATAATAATAATAATAATAATAATAATAATAATAATAATAATAATAATAATAATAATAATAATAATAATAATAATAATAATATAAAGAGAGTGCACTAACAATATAAAACAATATTACACATACAATCAATCAAAATTTGTATATTTATCATGCCATATTAATATTTTAAAAATAAAAAAGTAACTTGACGGAACACACATTTCTCATTTTTTTTTGGGTTGATAGTGTAACACTTTTTTACACCTTTGTATTATTGAAATGTGTTCATTTCAATAATAATAATAATAATAATAATAATAATAATAATAATAATGGCCTTTAGAAGCACCCTATCATTTTGTATCGTTATCTTCTCAAGTATTGATATAACCCTAGCTCCGAACACCGCTTTCTTCTTTTTCTAATCATCTCATTTTCTTCTCTCTCCAAACCCTAATTCCAATTTTCCATTTCCACTCAAACTTCGTTTTATCAAATTCTCTCCCTTCCGTTATTTCTAGATCTCAAACTCTTCCATTTCTATTTCTCGATTAAATCAAATTATACAAAAGCTTTGTTTTTTCTATAACCGCTTCACCTTTTTGAATTTGAGCGATATATAAAACCCGATTCAGTCACAATTTGATTTCAACCGAGTACAACAGAAGCGGCGAGGCTTGGAATTTCTGAGAGTAGTGAAAATCGCTGTTGACAATGGTTGGCGGTGGAAGCAGAAGAGACGATGGTTCGTTGGTAATTAACAACACCAACGTGTTTGCGGCGCTTGATACTTTGAAGAAGAAAAAGAAATCGGATAAGGAGAGAAAGAATAAGGGTTCCAAATCGTCCAACAAATTGGAATCTGAATCGGATTCAAAGGTGTTTTGGGCTCCGGCCCCATTGAATGCATCTTCATGGGCTGATGTGGATGATGATGATGATTATTATGCCACCACTGCACCGCCTCAATCTGTTTGGTCTGTTTCCGACCCACAACATAGTGACGAAAAGCCAGAGAATTTTGAGGTTTTTTTCTCTTTATGTTTTGTTACTCATTTTACGGATTATGTCATTTATCTGTTTGGATTTGGTGTATTGGTTTTCTTGAATGAAATGAAATATTTGGTGTATTGGTCTTGTTAGTTAGTTCCCAGTTCCGATGTTAATTGAGATTTAGATGGCATTTTGTAGTGTTTATGTTACAATCTATGACTCTGAAAGGATGGAATTCTGCATATCTATACTTTGTTTATGTAGAGTACTCTAGGAAACTAATTTAGATTCGGGTGGCTTTGCGGTCGCATAAAGGCTTTTGCGATTTCGGGGTCTGTACAGGTGTTGTGACATTGAATTGATTGCAGTTGTAGCCATGTGAGTTAACCACAATTTATTCTTTAACATAAAAACAGTGGATAACGGTTTTGGCCGATAACGTTTTGTTGTGGTGGCCTTTTTCACTGGTGGCCGTTTTCGCTGTCGCATTAAACCTTGAAGGACTTTATGAAATTAAGTTGAAAGCAACATAAAAATGCCTATTTAATGAGATAAATCCAAATAAACTCTTCTGAACATTCCTCTTTGTTGTTGTTGTTGTTGTTGTGGGGTGTCCCTTTTCTGAATACATGATTATGCCTATTCTTATTATGAGATTGGATTTGGTGAGGCTTGTGATCCTTATGGGTAACGTTATGCCTATTTATATAGCAAAGAAAAGATGGTTTCTTTGTGTGCTGTTTTGTTATTTCTGAGGTCATATGTTAGCATATTAGAGATCCTTTGAATTGCATTAGTATTTTAGGAATGTCTGGCATGTGATGATTTTGTGTGGGATACATTTCAGTGATGGAACCCGCTAGCATAGCAAACAATGTTGTGGTAGAAGTATCATTGTTTAGTTCTATTTCATTATAATTATATTGTTGTTCTATGAGTCAGCAGTTTATATGTTTGTAGTGATTTACGTTTGTTTTTGTTTGGTGTGGCTGTTGGTTGAATGGTTAGAAAACTCTTGTGCTATTCTGGATTTGATAATTTACAATTTTTGACAGGATACTGAGAGTGAGGAAGATATTTTAGATGATGGGGATGAGGAGGAGGAAGAGCAAGATCATGAACCAGAACCGGAGGACGCTGTGAAACCTGAACCTGAGCTCAAGAAGCATGCTGAAGTTCCTGTGGCACCAAAGGAAGCAGAACGGCAGCTCTCCAAAAAGGAAAGGAAGAAAAAGGAACTTGAAGAGCTTGAGGCTCTTTTAGCTGATTTTGGAGTCGCACAGAAAGAAAGCAATGATAGTCAAGGTCAAGATGAGTCGCAAGGTACATTATTTGCAGGATTGTTTATATTTTGCGTAAGTTCAGATTATTTTGGAAATTTCCTGCTTTTGCTCATAGATTTGCTTCCATTTTTTTCTTCTTTTTGCACTTACAGGGTTTTTGGATTAACTATGTTGATTTCAAGTTTTTTTATATTTTTTATCATTTTATTATTTTTGTATCAAAATAAAGTACTTGACACAGATTATTGTTGTTGATTTTTTCAAATTGCAAATTTGTATTTGTAGGCGCCGAGGATAAAAAAGATGTTGAAGGGGATGTAAATGGAGAAAAGAAAGAAACAGCTGCAGAGTCAAAGACTGCCAAGAAGAAGAAAAAGAAGGAAAAAGCTTCCAAGGAGGTGAAACAATCCAACGGTCAGCACAGCAATTCAGAAACAAACATTGCGTCTGATATGGCCGAAAATGCGGAGGAGGATCCATCTGTTGTTGATGTGAAAGAGCGTCTTAAGAAACTTGCTTCTGTGAAGAAGAAGAAATCCAATAAAGAAATGGATGGTGCTGCCAGAGCTGCTGCTCAAGAAGCTGCTGCAAGGAATGCAAGGCTTGCTGCGGCAAAGAAAAAAGAGAAGAACCATTATAACCAACAACCTGTGCGGTAAAAGAACCTTGCTCCTAAACATCAATCTATACAGGAATTTGTATTTCTTGTCTATATGATGATGATGCCGAATAAATAGTTGGGCTTTAGGCCCTGGTGACCCTAGCCGTACTCCAGTAGACTTGATATACTGTCTTACGCTTTTTTGGGTTAGTGTTGTTTAATTGTTATAGACCATTATATTTTGAGCACAGGATTTTATCTTTAAAAATTACATGAACTATGTTTTGAAAATTACATGGGAGCGACTATGTTGTTGTGCACTCGGGTTCTTATGTTGTGGCTGATCAATTACTGCTGGTGAGAGTAGTTGAAGTTTACTCTTGAAAGTGTTGGGTTGTTGTGAAATCATAGTATCCTGGTTGGACAAAATTTTCTGTTCTTTTTTCTATCTTTGCCATATTCAAGGCTTTACAACCGGCTTTTTGCTGATTGAGAAAAATGTCCCTCGAAATCTATCTATTATTTTCTGCTCATTACACTTGTTTCTCACCCAAGCAAAAATCATCATATGAGAAATTGTACAATAAGCCTAAATGGCTTTTATAAAGTACCTCTACCTTATAGATAGAAGTTTTCCATTTGAATTATTCCACCTAGACATTCTATCCTTTTTGATTGGAAAAAAAAGGCTGTTTTGAGAGTTTTTTTACATGAATGCCACTAAATAAAAAGCACTGAATTGTCACAAGTTGAAAAAAAATGTATTAAATTGCCATGGTTTTTTTATAGGGGTTGTCCAATGGATGGACGAATCTATGAAGGTACTTTCGTTCCAGAACGGGCTTGGCCAACCATTGGCTGACTCTTTGAAAGTTTTGTTTCTTTTTTATTTTAAATATAAATATAAAATATTTATTATGATTTTATATATTTAATTGTTTTTAATTACTAATAAATAAATAATTTAATTAATTTTATAATGTTATTAAATATTTTTTATAATATTTAATTAATTATCTAATTAATTAAAATAATTTGTTTATTAAATAAAATTATAAATATAAGCAATTTTATTAATACCAATGAGTGAAAAAGATATATCATTTTTGTCTACGTAATTGATCGTCAGTTTCACACATTTTACTCTTTTTTACGCGTTTTCTCCTGCCTAACTCTTCGGGTTGCCGTCTTGTAGGTGATGGAGTAGAGTCGGAAGACAACTTTTCATCTTCACATACATTTTTAGGTTGATGTGATGTATCGATCATGTTCACATTAGTAACAGAAGAACCTGACCATTCTATGAGCTGATCATCATTTAGGAGATAGTTGGGGACTGACTGAGATGGTTGGTTGAAGGTGGTTGGAGGGCTTTGTTGGATGAGAGGGTAATAAACATCGTCAGTGCGACCGATAGAAATGAGTTGAGAGAGTGAAAGGTTAAATGTTTGGTGTTATGATTGGGAGTAAGAGAAATCAAAATTAGGTTGAGGAATTAGAATGTATTGGAAGGATGGTCGAAATGTGGTTTGTTCCTGGTATTTTTGGTGGTAGTAGAAGTTAGGTTGCGGGGTTGAGGTGTATGGTGTTGGTTGTTGAGAGAAGGTGGCAAAGAATGTGGTATGAGTGCGTTGATATGTTGGTTGGGGTTGTGTGGGTCGAGGGTGTTGGTATGTGGTCTGAGGGAATGGATGTCTGTGATTGAAATTGCAAAGGGTTCATCTGGGGGATTTTTTGAGGCATGGACGACGACGATCTTTACTGTGATGAAGACGATGCATATTGCGGTATCCAGACCCCGGCTTCTACCGGTTCTAAAGCCGGGGTCTAGATACCGCACGGGCTTGAGCAAATAGAACTGGTGGAAGCCGGGGTCTGGATACCACACGGGTTTGAGCAAATAGAACCGGTGGAAGTCGGGGGTCTGGATATCGCACATATTGACAGGGGTCTTCTAGGAACTGGCCTTGAGAAGCATGCATAAATGGAATGGATAAAAACCATTGCATATATGCAGTATTATGAACATAGTTACCGTTAACCATGTTACCTTGTAAGGTAAAAAAAAATTCTTCTGTTTTTTCATTCGTTGTTCTCTTCTCTATTTATATTGCGCCAATGATCTCCCCATGTATTGGGCATTTCAGTTTCATGTTGTTCGCGTAGACATCTAGGCTAATAAGGGATATCTTGTTGAAATTCAAACTGCAATTTGACCCTATCAGCTTGATGCATTTCAACAATATGAAAACTGATAATTGAAGTGGTCGCGCTCCAAATCTGGTTATCTGCAAAGACGCATTCTGGGTAGTTCAGGTAGAGCCTCCAAATAAACTGTTACAGAAAATATAATAGTTAGAGTTTAAATACAGATGTTAGCATATATTTAGAGAACGTAGCGGTAACAAACTTACAGCGTTAGCCCTCAATCTATCTAATGCAAATTTAAATTCTCGGATATAGTGTCGAGGATTATTTTGGTAAGCCATGCCTCTTCGAACAAATCTTGCAATTTTAAAAGAAAGAAATGTAATAAAGGGATGTTAAAAAAAAAGAAAAGAAAAGAAAATGTAAATAATTCTTACCTTGTTGTGTAAGGATGGTATGACTCGACGAAACTCTCTGGAGCAATTAGTGGTATATGCCAATATGTCCAAACACTTAGTAGGAGAACACATCCTCCAATACTTTTTACCCCTACCCTACATGCTTTACACATATGCCTATATAATGTAGCTAAACAAGCAGAACTCCAACTATATCTATTGCATTTATCTAAATCCCCTACTAGGGGTATCCAAGAAGAATGTAAATAGTTATGACTCTTGTCTGGCATCAACACTTTAGCTATAAGTAGTAATATATAAATTTTTGCACGGAGAAGGTTCTCCTCATCGGATGGCGATGCGTTTTGTCGTAGTTGTGCTAATATTGTTTGTAGCCAAACAATTTTAACACATACTTTATGTTTATCGGATGTCGAAGGTTCGATACCTAAATTTTCCATATATACATCACTGCCTACCTGAGTATGACCATTCACAACCTTACCATTTACACGGAGACCTAATAACATACTTACATCCTCCAACGCGATGGTACATTCACCTGTTGGAAGATGGAAAGTATGTGTTTCTGGTCTCCACCTCTCCACCATAGCAAGTACTAGCTTTGAATCAATATTGATAGTGGTTATTTCTGCAACTTTTACAAAAGTTGCTCGTTCCAAATACGGTTTGATTGCGTCACTTGGTGCATCGATAGCATGAGAATGAAGTCTAAATTTTTCGTTGTCGGACTGTTTCAAATATTGAAAAATAAAAACAACGTAATGATGTAATATTAAACACAAGTATGAAGAAAAAAAAAACTTACATAGGCGGCAACATTGGTCGGTGCTCCCCGATGGTTTTCTGCCATCCACAACATTGCCATTTAGAATATCTTATAACTGATGAAGTAATGAAGGTGTTGAAGCATTGAATTAGTTTGTTAATTTTGCAATACATATGAATAAAATTCATTGCTATTTATAAGAAAAAGAGATGAGTAAAATTATTGAGCCATGCAATTATCTGTTGGAAAAAAAGATGAGTCAAAATTATTGACTCTGCATGATTCCCTCTGCATCCCTATAGATTGCATGGAAGAATTCTGGCCAGAAAAGACTACACACTGCACCCTAAGACTACACATTGCACCCTATGCAACTCAGCCAATGGAATGACATGCAGTCACACGTGCTTCAAGGGTTCGTCACTTGGTTGGACGACCCTACACGTTAACTTAAAGGGCTCGTCATTTGGTTGGACGACTCTACACGTTACACTCAAGGGTTCGTCATTTGGTTGGACGACCCTACACGTGTTTAGTATGGACTCATCATTTGCTTGGACAAACCAATACTGTTCCGTATCACTATATATTTTGCATGCATGTCTTGTAGACTCCCATCCAACTTACACACACTATCTGTATCAAAGCTATGGCAAATAGAAATACAATGGTCACTATGCACTATAATGGTTCTGTGTTCACAGATCAAAATACTGGTTTCTCATTCAATGGAACAAATACAGCGATGTTCAAACTTCATCGTAGTTCTGATATTCTTCATCTAAAAGAACAAATCAAAAAAACATGCAACGCTCAGTTCAGGAAATTATTTACCATCAACCATTACCTAATGGGGTAGATGGTAGTGTCTTCTACCTAATGATGCAAATAGATACAAACAACGCAATCAAATCAATGTTCCAATGTCATTACACAATGCCTCATTTGAAGACGATTGAGTTATATGTTCGCCTTGATAACGAAGCATATCCAACGCAGTTATCATATTCGCATCAATACGGAGTGAGCCAAGCAACTGATGAAGAAATAACACAAAATAATGAACCTTTCACACGAAATGAGGAGGTTGGTGAATATAGTGACGACAAACTCCATGATGTTCGCTTTGAAAGTCTATTCGGTGATGGCGATAAAGAGGATGTTTTCCCCGTGCATTCATAGGTAATAAATGCTCAACCCATTAATTTGTACAATCCACCAGTGCATATGTCAAACATATGTCTGGAGTCTTCTCAACCCATCTATATTTTTGAAAACGACAAACCAAACCATATTGGTGACAACTTGGAAGTAGGTTTGGTGTTTGAAAATAAGGAGGCGTGTGTTCTTTTTTTGCAACATTGGCATATAAGTAACAATCTTGACTATGCAGTATATAAATCTGATTCAGTAAGGTGTATAATAAAATGTAAGAACTCACAGTGCATGTTCACATGTAGAGCTGCATTGCGTAAAAAGAGCACATTATGGGAGATCGCTACTATAAGCGGATCTCACACTTGCACAACAACTTCTATGTCACAGGATCATAGAAAATTAGATTCTGAATTATTAGCCACAACATCAGGGAACTTGTTAACAACAACGCTTCACTAAAAGTCAAAGTGATATAAGCCCATATTGCTGAAAAATACGGTTATAGAATCTCATATCGAAAATCTTGGATTGCAAAGATTAAAGCCGTAGAATCACTTTATGGGA